GGAGTTGTGTCCTTAATTAGCCTCTCAACTTGGCTGTTATTGGCATATACAAAGGCAACTGACTTGTGCACATTGATTTTATATCCTTAGACATTACTGTATTTTTTGATGACTCCCAGGAGTCTTGTGGTTGAGTCTTTGGGGTTCTCTAAGTATAGTGATTCTTTGGGGAATTAATTAAACTGAAAAGCTTCTGTACAGCCATGGAGACAACAACCAAAGCAGATAGACAGCCTACACAATGGGAAAGGATATTTGCATATTTTGAATCACATAAAAGCTTGGTAACTAGGATCTATAGAGAACTCAAATTAATACACATGAAAAAACCCATGACGATCATATTGTCAGCAAAAAGGGAGAGTTTGACCTCCTCTGCTCCCATTTGGATGCCCTTTATTTCCTTGTCTTGCCTAATTGTATTGGCTAGAACTTCCAGCACTATATTGAATAGTAATGGTGACAGAGGACAGCCTTGTCTGGTTCCAGTTTGGAGAGGAAAAGCTTTCAGTTTTACTCCATTCAGTAAAATATTAGCTGTGGGTTTGTCATACATAGCTTTGATCAGTTTCAGAAATGTGCCTACGTATGCCTGTACTTTTCAGTGTTCTAATTAGAAAAGGATGCTGGATTTTATTGAATACTTTTTCTGCATGTATTGAGAGGATCATATAGTCTTTGGTTTTACTTATGTTGATACAGTGAGTAACTTATGGACTTTCGTATATTAAACCAGCCTTGCATCCCTGGGATGAAACCTACTTGATCATGATGTATGATTTTTTTGATGATAAGCTGTAATCTACTGGCTAGTATTTTGTTGAGAATTTTTGCATCTATATTCATTAGTGAAATTGGTCTGAAATTCTCCTTTTTAGTTGGGTCTTTTCCTGGTTTTGGTATCAGGGTGATGTTTGCTTCATAGAAGGTTTTGGGGAAGATTCCTTCCTCCTCAATTTTCTGAATAATTTCTGGAGTACGAGAATAAGCTCTAACTTGAAGATTTGATAGAATTCTGGTGTGAAGCCATCCGGACCAGGGCATTCTTTTGTTGGGAGATTTTTTATTGTTAATTTAATCTCAGTGCTTATTGGCCTGTTCAGGAGCTCTATTTCTTCCTGACTAAGTCTAGGGAGAGGGTGTGATTCCAAATATTGGTCCATTTCCTTCACATTGTCAGATTTCAGAGCATAAAGTTTCTGGTAGTATTCAGAGATGATGTCTTGTATCTCTATGGCATCAGTTGTTATTTCCCCTTTATCATTTTTGATTGAGGTTACTAGAGATTTTACTTTTTTATTTTTAGTTAGTCTGGCCAAAGGTTTACCTATTTTATTTATTTTTTCAAAAAACTAACCCCTTGTTTCATTAATTTTCTGAATGAGTCTTTTGTTTTCAATTTCATTGATCTCTGATTTAATTTTGGATATTTCTTTTCTTCTTCTGGGTTTAGGCTTAGATTGTTCTTTTTCCAATTCCATAAGATGGCTTCTGAGTTTGTTCATGTGCTCTCTTTCTGTTTTTCAAATGTAGGCATCTAAAGTGATAAATTTTTCTCTCAGGACTGCTTTTGCAGTATCCCACAGGTTTTGGTAGCTTGTGTTTCATTATTGTTATGCTTAAGGAAGTTACTGATTTTCTCTTTTATTTCTTCCTGCACCCAACTGTCATTCACCAGAAGGTTGTTTAATTTCCATGCCTTCGTGTGGGGTTGAACGTTTTTTGTTGGAGTTGAGTTCCACCTTTAGTGCCTTGTGGTCTGAGAAGATACAGGGTTAAATTTCGATTCTTTTGATTCTGTTGAGGTTTGTTTTGTGTCCTCGGATATGATCAATTTTGAAGAATGTTCCATGGAGTGATGAGAAGAATGTATATTCTTTATCTTTGGGATGGAGTGCTCTATATGCGTCTATCAAGCACTGTTGCTGTAGGGCAGGCGTCCTCAAACTACGGCCCGCCTAGGACATTTATCCAGCCCGCCCGATGGATATTTTTGTTGGTGCTGCCAGTCCTGCTTTGCAGCTGACTAGTCCCCAGGCCAGCAGTCTGGCCCTCCAGCGGTCTGAGGGACAGTGAACTGGCCCCCTATTTAAATAAAGTTTGAGGACCCCCTGCTCTAGGGTCTCATTTAAGTGCCTTGCATCTTTGTTTAATTTCTTTTTAGAGGATCTGTCCAGCTCTGTAAGAGGAGTATTAAAGTCACCTGTTATTATGGTATTATAGGATATCATATTGCTCAGACTGAGTAATGTCTGTTTCAAGAATCTGGGAGCATTTAAATTGGGTGCATAAATATTTAGAATTGAAATGTCTTCTTGTTGTATTTTTCCCTTGACCAATATGACTTGACCATCTTGGTCTTTTTTGACTTTAGTTGCTTTAAATCCACATGTATTTGAAAATAAGGTTGCAACTCCTCTT